ATTTATAGCCCTAGCATTAAAAGAACATTTTTTTTATATCATGTTCATCAAATTCATTCTCTAATTTAAGCTTCTTAATGTTATTAACAATTTTTATTGGAATGAAAGGACCTTTACTAACATTCCACCATAATTCATAATCAATCGATTGCAAATAAATTTTCATTCTAGCTTTCCAATACGTATAATTAGATCCATCAAAATAAGGAGGTCTAGAAGTTGATTGTCCTTCACAAAAACCGTTTTTAACACGTAGATTTGTCATAATCTCTAAAAATAAAGTTTATATAAAAAAAAAAAAACAATAAGAGAAACCCGCTCTGATACTAATTGTTGGATCGATATGACAACCCTAGAGGGGTGAATAGGGTTTCAACAATGTAATTATTAATTTTTTTTTCTAATAACAATAAAACTTATACCTGCAATAAAACTTAAAAATTTAGAATTTAAATAGGAAAAGGGTTAGAAAATATAACACCCTAGTTTTATAAACTGAACCTACTCCACTCCCCACGCACCTCGGGGAATTTGAATAAAACTTTCTAACTCTTTCCTCGAATTAGAGCCCAACCACTACACCGCTCTTTTTAGAGTGCAAGAGCAAACTCAATCCTTTCCACGACTCAGGATCAAACCGGTACACCGCTCTTTTTACGAGTTCAAGAGCAAACTCAATCATTTCCATGGCTCAGGATCAAACAGGTACAACTGTCTGAAATTTTATAGAAACACACCACAACGCCCCGAAGTAATAGATTTACAATTTTCTCACAATACAATAGACATCTCTCTCATGAATAAGATAAAAAAGAAATAGAATTAGAAACTTTGGAGAGAGCAACAATGGAGGAATAGAATTGGAAGCTTTGGAGAGAGCAACAATGGAGACTTTTAGAAAAAAAAGTTTAGATCGAGAAAACTATGAAATTTGTATTGTGAAATGTTTTGGGTGTTGTGTTCTAAAAAAATACGAACTGGCGATCAGTTTAAATAGAAATCAAGTTGTAAAAATAAGGATTGATATGGACCACTAAAACATGAACCGAAACATGGACCATAAAAAATAATATTTATTTATTTTTAAATTTATCGTAAAAAATTATAGACCACATGTTTCATTTATATATATATATATATATATATATATATAACATACTTAAATGTAATAATATAATAAAAAAAAATGTTAATGAAAACTGCTAGTAACATTTTAAAAATGATTGAAAAGTTTTATAAATCTAATTGAAATTCTTATAAATGTAATTGATATGATGTTATAATTAAATAATTTTTTTTTCTCAAAACTAGTTTTTAAATAAAATCATTATAATTTCTTTCGTAACAACTAGTATATGAAATCATTATAATTTCTTTTTCTTGTTACTCTACTAAATTTATAAATGTCATACTTCGATTGGTCTATGATGTCAATTTTGCAGCTGGTCCATGATGTCAATTTTGTCATCACATCATCACGTCAGGTATCTTGTTTTGAATTTGATTGGTCCATGATGTCAATTTTGCCACCACATCATCACGTTGGGTATTTGTTTTGACTGGAACTTCTTCGTTTTATCTCTAATTTGAGTGAACCAAAAAAGACGTTGAAATGGTTGTTCCCAACCTTACACTGTTGACAAAAATACTGAGAATTGTTAATAATTGAAGGTAGGTTTGTTATCATCAAAAACATTAATTAATTAATTAATTAAAATTAATTAATTTGAGATTAAGGCTAATCAGACAACATGGTCAATACCATAATGTGCCAAAAAAAAGTAGATCAACCCAGATGAAAAAGTCTGATTGTCTTGGAAACTAGAGAATGAGGTTTAAAATTGTCTAGACACCCTAAAAACGTAGTAAACCTCCACAACAAGTACTTGAAAAGTCTGTTTTAAATTGTCAAGTTGCAAATATTTAGTTAGGGACATCGGATTATGAGTTATTAACTGATAAAATGAATAAAAATTCACAATTTGAGGGGCCGCCCCTAAAGGTCCTATCGAATTCCTAATTTCAATTAGAGGATCCTTTTTACTTGATTCTTTTATGACATTATAATCTTTTACATCGTTGAATAGATCCATTTGCAAACAATTCAATGCTGACAAAATTATCAAAGATTGGCGTTCTTTATTTCTATTCAACAACGTACGAATAGTTCCTTGATTTTGACTAAGGGATTGTGGAACCCTTGTCTTGGAATAAATAGAACAAAATGGATTGATATTGGTGCGATCTGACTCATTATTAAAGATCAGGAGCTTAATAGCAGTGTGAACCGTGTTACCAGAACCTTTGAAGCCACTTGAGTTACTATTGAGCGTACAAATCAATCGAGGCTAAGCTCGCAATTTCGTAAGCAAGTTTTGAGAAGGGACTTGGGGCTACATAGATAATTAGCTCAAGACAAAAACTTCTATCGAGGGTAGAAATGTGTCAAGGTTGAGGCCACAATTCTGTAAACTAGTATTGAAAAGATACTTGAGACTACACAGGTAATTGTCTCATAGGTGAGTGCTCTTATTGAGTGTAGGAACAAGTCAAAGGCTGAGGCCGCAATTCCGTAAGTCGGTCCTGAGAAAAGACTTGGGACTACATGGGTAGTTGACTCATGATGAAGCTTTCTAAGTATGAGAATAGAAAAGTTTGTTCACCCCGAGATGAGATCTGCCATTTGGAAGATTCGTGGCACTAGAACCCGACAAATGGCTTCCAAACTCCAAATGGTCTGTGATATGTAAAAGAACCACTTTAAACTTTGAGGTCTTTTTAAAAGCTTAGATAGTTGTAGAAGAAGACTCAAACTTCCTAGAGCCTAGAGAAAAACCCTTATTAACTTCCGAGAGATAGTTTGCTTTAACACATCAAAATAGTTCTTATTCGACTTACTAACTCTAGTCCTCACACATCCAACTCTAGCTTGGCATGTGCAGTTGTAGTTTGACTCACTTAGCTTCAATTAAAACATGTTTAAGGTCGGTTTATGGGAAACCCAATCTATTTAGGTCATTTGATTTTAATTAAGTCTAGTCCAGAGATTTTCAAGATAGTTTAACTTCTATTTTAGTCGGCTTAAGAACTTTTCATAATGTTTAGAATTATTATAGATTTAATTTGGTGTTTAATTCCTATATACTTTAAAGGTGATAGGTCAAATTGGACTTCATTAAGTTGAACCAAAGTGATGATTAGCTAACGGGAGCATAGATGATGTTAAAAATTTATGATGTCATCTAATGTTTAGGATTTATGATGCCATATTGTCCTACATGAGATGATTTATGATGAGGCTACACCTCCTAGATTTAATTTATGATGAGGCTACACCTCCTAGATTTAAGATACCAATGATTTATTCTAAGGCAAGTAAACTAGTTAAGTAATAATAACATAAAAGTTGACTCAACCCACAACACAATTTCGCGTTCAAAAGATCCTACGACACCCGAATACGTGAACAATTTTCAAGCCTCAATTGGATTGTGAACTATATACGAATCACCTTAAAAACTTTAGGTCGCCTACAATTTAGACTTGAACGTTCTAGAATCTAAATTAAAGTCTATAGATACCTTCAAAATTGGAATATACAAGTTGTTGAAGATATTTTAAATTCCCATTTTTCTTCCAATTGTGTTCACTTCCAATCACCACAGCAAAATCTCTCTCTTCTCTCAACTTGACCATCACTTTCTCCTTCAATCACCTTCCCAACCCACCAAAACACTCAACCTTCATAAACATCATTTAAAATATATATATATATATATATATTCTTCCCCAATAGTCACCACTCAACTTACAAACACAAACAAAAAAATTCATGTCAAACAAGGCCCAGAGCCAAAGACATGCATCCAATTCAAATATTTTGGGTTCACAATTAAAATGAATGGTTCCATCTTCGAATAAGGTAGATGTTCTTATAATGATGTTGACTTGTATATGTATGTTTATGAAAATACATAATTAATCTACGTTACAAATTACTAATTTGGTAGGTAGAAGGTTAAATTATACCAAATATCTCTAAATTACTAGATAAAATTTATTTGTACCGTGATTTTTAAAATTTTTGAAAAGAACATCATTGAACTTTGATTGAAACCGATCCGAACAAATCTTTCTTACGTTCAAATCAAGGATGAAAAGGTGATGTGATAGTTGTTATTATAAACTTCCTGTTAAAAGATTAGGTGGGAGGGTTAGTATTTTGATTCTTAGACATATGCTAGATGATTAGTATTTTAGGGTTGAATTAGGATTTTAGGTTAGATGATTTCGGGCATGGTCACACTTGATGACCTTGTTTGCACAATTTTGGATGCATATCTAACCCTCACATCGGGTTATTTACTTAACATTTTTAATATTAAATTTTAAAAAAAATTCAAATAAGTGCATGGTCGTATGAGGTGTATGACGAGATTATGGTGTTTGAACGCTCATGTGTAGTTTTGCTTCCAACACTCTTTGTGAAACTAGATTACAGTTAGTATTTCTAAGACATTTTGACGATGTGATTTTGACTTATCGTTATGGATTGATATCATAATCTTAAGTTAGTTAGGTTTTTGTAGACTATCATAGTCTTATGTTTTGACTCTATGATTGATATCATAGAGTCATTGGCTTCCCTATAACTCACTCAATAGCCATCTTACCTCGACCAAGTAGGTAAGTAAGAAATTAGCAAGCATGATCTAGCCTCATTGCAGGTATCATAAGCTTGATGGAATATGATACGCAATAATAATTCTAAAGTTAGAATATGTTGTTGGAAAATCTCGACTATCGAACTTATATAATTTTTTAATAATTAACATTATAATATTTAAATGGGAGTGAGGTAGAAGTTGGAAATTGTTACCACCCTTGATATTAGGACCAAAACTAATTTTGATGCAAAATATATATATATATATATATATATATATATATATATATATATTATATTGACAACAACCTTTGCCAACAATTGTCAACCAAAATTAAAAATTAAAATCAAAATTTTATTGGTGAAACACAGAGAAATGCAATATTTACAAGGGTGCTAATGGAGCCACTCTCACTCATTCACCGCCCCAACACACAATTTCCATCATAAGACAATAAATGGCGTCGCTGCCGATTCCCACCAGCCCTCACCGCCGCCCTTCCGCCACTTCTCCGACGCCGACCAAAATTTTCTAACATCGCCAACCATCATTCCGGCGGCCCCCTTATCTCCAATATCGACCTTTTCAACCTCCTCGGAATAGACGTCGACGATCTTTGGAGAATTCCACTCCGCCGCAATCACCGGTGTCTGACCCCGGTCGCGCGTGTCCCAAATCTTCAGAGACATGTTCCCCAAACCACTCTCTCTGGCAGCCACAACCATTTTCGCCGCCGATTTCAGCGGATCTCCCCCGCTGAAAATGGAGCAGATCTCCGCCTCTTCATTCTCATCGTACACCAAAATTACACTCCCACTCAACTCCTCAAACTCGCATTTCAATTTCACATCGCCCCATTGCTTCACCACGCTCTTGTCCGACACAAAACAGGGCCACGAGAAAGAATCTCCATTGCCTCCTCTGCTTCCGTGTCGCCGCCGGAGACCAGAAAAACGGCGGTCGTCAAATTCACCGGAAAATCGAACCGACCCTTTGACAAGAAAATCCAACCTATCGTCCGGCTCCCGGTCCTGGTCTCCCTCGTTCTCATCTTCCGATTCCGAGCTTGAACGAGGCAGAGATCTGAAATTCTTTGAAATTAAACTACCGTTCTCTCCGCCGTGGAGAGATGAGGAGAGAGGTTCCGAAATGGGAGTGGTTCGAGTTCTCCGGCGAATGACGATAACAGAGGTCTTGAGTCGATTGATTATGCCGCTAAATGTGGCCAACAGAGCAATAAACAGTGCACCCCATTTCCAAAACTGTTGAAATATGGAAAAGGAAGTGAAAATTCGAGAGAGAAAATTGGGATCTGGAATCGAACCCAGTTCTCTTCCGAATCCAGTAATCATGTTCAGCACAGGAACTTCCATTGTTCTTGAATTTAAGCAAAAAAAAAAAAGAAGAAAAAAACAGAGAAATTTTCTGGGCTGCCAAACAGATTTTGCAGAGGGGAAACAGAGAAGATGCGGGGAAATGGGAGAGTGAATTCAAAGAGAAAATATAAGATTTGAACGGAGACGTGGCGGATAATGATTGGTGAACTAGAATATATATAATATATATTTATACACGTCATAAATAGGTGGCAATTTCGAAAATTGGAACTCTCCATAAGGATTGGGACAACTGAGTCAGTTTCTGAGAGTAGGAAATTTTAATTAAAGATAAAATTACCAATTTTGAATAAATAATTTGGGGTTGCTTTTATCTATGGGTGTCATTTTTTTTTATTTTGAGATATTATCAAAATAGCAATTTTAAAATCTTAAAAATACAAAAATAAAAATGTCCCTAAGAAGAAAAAAATAATATTGGAGCAGTAAAAGACAAGAAAATATTTTATTTTTAATGGTCATGGCCAAGCTGAAAGCTGTGCGGGAGATTTTGTGGTGCCAAGGTCCCTGACGGTTCCACCACTAGGATACCCACACGCGTCAATATTTAAGTGAGCGTTACAGTCGTGTTCATTATATTTTGGAGGTCACTCAACTTAGAATTACTCTAAACAAAATACGCTTACTTGTGAAGTTTTTGTAATTGAGCCACCGAAAAATAAAGTAAACCGTATTGATAAGATAATAACTTTCCATTTTTTAAAAGTTTTTTTGGTCATCCTATCTCTCGATCACTCTTATTCAAATATAATCTTAGTTCATTCATGCACTTTTCTTTTAGCTTGAATTATTTTCAAGTTTCGGTGATATTGTATTTTTACTATTTTTAATATAAGCTTAATTTATAAATAAAATAAATAATTATTTAGGTTAGACTTGGCTAATCTTAATTTTAAACATAAAATTAAAAAAAAAATCAATTATTAAACAAAACCCTGATGTAAAACTTCAACAACTCTGAGCTTAAATACATTTTTAAAACTCATGACTTTGTTTATATTAATATTCCCTGATATAAATTTATGTAGAGAATTTTATAGTTGAACTATGGACAAATACGACCGTTAATATTATAAGCGTTTTTTTTGTCTTCAAGTGCATTAAGTTTAAAATGTAGAGTCGTTGGAAGTCGGAACCTTAATGTCATTTACTTAATAAATAAAATAAGTTTATGATTTAATTATTAATTCATCTAAGTTTGTTTGGGTTAATTAATATTTAATATAGTTAGTGTGACATCCGAGTACATGAATCAATCGAGACCATATCATCATGATTTTGAAGATAGAATGGTCAAGAAAGGCTTAAAAGACAAGAAAAATCTTAAAAAAGTGACGAGTAAGTAACATGACCATGTTGGCAGGAGACTGTTAGAGTGATTTGATATCAAATTTGAATTCCAACTTTTCATTTAAATCTTAGACATGAGATGTTAGTGTTAGAATCGTGTAATACATTCATAAGCTTAAAAGATGAACTTCAAATTTAATAAATAAAAGAGTTTTGTTTGGTGATGGTTGTGTGATTAATTAATTATTTGGCCGGAGAGTAGGTAGCTTAGTCTATCACCATCATTAATTAAATCAATAAAAAAAGTATAGTTTTTAGATTTTGATTAAAATAATTATATTTTTTAATGGTTTGTTAATTAATGCTAATCCAGGGTTTTTATTAAAATGGTATTATTCTAATGGTCCTTCTGAATAATTGTTAAAATATATGATTATTTGGACAGGTGTTTTCGAATCACGATGTTCTTTCATTGATTCGAATTGATAGAAGTTATAATTTAATATTTTCAAAATTATGTTTGAAAATTGTTTTAATTTATTCATTTTATCTAAATCATACGGAATAATTTGCGTGATGATTTCAAATTTCACTCTTCCTTTTTACGTTTATTTTTATTTTCAATGTTTTTAAGTATTTTTTAAAATTATTGAAACTAAATTTAATTATATTTTTTTAATTACAGAGACAAATTTATACTTATTAAAACTCAGCCTTTTAAATAACTTTAATTAAAAAATACTTAAGATCTTGTTCACCAATTAATTAATAATTTTAGTAAATGAGTAATTTTATTCATTTAATAAACTTTTATTTGTAGAAATGAATTGAATATATATTCATTAAATTATCATTGATTTATTATAATTAAATAATTAATTATATTATTCTCGTAACCCAATACATTTAGTTAATTAGTTAAGTATATTTAAAATAAAATTATAAATGAAAATGAAAAACAAATTAAAAGAGAAAACTCATACTTCGTACAAGTATTGAATACCCAAATTTATGAGCATGAATGATGTCATATATTTTTTTTTTTTTTTAAAAAGTGAAGAAAAAGGTAGACCGAGTCAGGTCGGGTTGGACCCAACCCGCATCCTCACGATCCAGCAATGTCGGGCCAGCCAATGTCGGGCCGAACAAAGCCTAACAAGCCACATGGAGGACAAGCCCAACTCTCTCGCCCATGCAGCTCATAGTGCGCACGTATGACTTGATGGCTAGGGTGGGGTGTGCATGCGGCTCAAAAGCAGGTCAACTGGCTTTGATCTGCTCGGTGGCTTCTAGTCGGCTTGGATGGCCTCCCTTGAGGCCAATTTTCTCTGTTTCACCATTTTTGCCCGTTGCAGAATCAACTTTAACCTAATTGAAGGCATTCAACTTCAGTGAGAATTCTTTTGCAACCAGAACTGTTTGGTTCTAGGCGAAGTTAGATTCTTGAATATATTTTAATTTTGATGTCATGGACTATTACAAGTGAAATCGATCATGACGAGTAGGATTAGGCTACCATCAGCTACGAAAAGTTAGTGATATCGACTAGGACAACACTATATATGAGCTTACTATTGGAACGTCTTCAAGCTAAGTTAGACAAACTGGTCAAAATTGGTCAAAATGGGCCAAAATCGGACCAATCTCATGCATGTTGTAGCCACAAGCATGACTTGCTTTCTTAAGGTTGAGGATTGTTGCGTGGAGTCCCACGTTAACTAATTAAGGGGATGTTCATGAGATTATTAGTAAGGAATACATTTTCATTCGAATGAGACTTTTTGGAGAAGCCAAAAGCAAAAACATGAAAGTTTATACTCAAGGTGGACAGTATTATATCATTGTGAAGATCCATAATTCTTAACATGGTATTAGAGTCGTGCTCTTAATTTATCCCTGTTAATAGAATTCTCAAGTGTCAAACAAATGTTATATTAGAGGGCTCAAGAGAAGAAGTCAAGCCTTGATTAAGAGGAGGCTATTCGAGGACTTCATAGGCCTCAAGGGAGGCTCTACGATGTACTTTGTTCAAGCTGAGGATTGTTGAAGATCATTGAGAGGAGTCCCACATTGAATGTTCATGGGTGTAAGGATTACATCTTCAATGAAATGAAATCTTTTGGGAAAGCCAAAAGCATGATCACGAGAGCTTATGCTCAAAGTAGACAATGTCATATTACTATGGAGGTATGTGATTCCTAACATCTAGTATGTTACATACGGCCACAAACACTATGTTATGATACACACTTCTTTCTTTCTATTGGTTTTTGGCAACGTGAGCATGCATTAGCCTGTAGTTAAGGCTAGGATGTATGTATACGAGCCCACCTAATAGGTTTATGTGTGGGTGTGCACTAACCTGTAGTCAAGCCTGGGGGGAGAATGTATATGAGCTCACCTAATAGGTTCATGTATGGGTGTTGAACCATGTGTAGAGAAGTACCATGCATCCAATCCAACTTGAAAAGAAAAGTAACGTCTAAGGAATAGTCACGAAAAGTAAATCCCACTATAAACCATATTCCATGCGATTGTTTTTCCCAATCCCAATAGTGAGATCACTTATTGAGTATTTCTAAATACTCAATCTACGTTTGGACGGGAGATCAAAGGTAATAACTCTATGTACGGATGATGGCGTCACCTAAGAAAGCGATGAAATTAGGTTTCGATAGTTAGTTTTCTACATTTAAGTTGTAGTCTTTATGTTAGGGTAGATCAATAACATTTTATTTCTAATTCTAAGCTTTAGTATGAGATGTTGTTTCTCTTGTTTTCAACTATATATATATATATATATATATATATATATATATATATATATATTATTATATGCTATTATTATCTTTGAATACATTTGTGAATATGTAAATCGATGACATAAAATAATTTTAATTTTGCACACCATAATCATGACATACATGTAGTATTGATATTATCTTAAAAGAAAAAATAGGATCGTTATAATTAGTATCAAAGCTCTAAACTTATAGATTTTGTAGGCTAGCCTACAACGTAGGTTTATAGTGTTTCCATAGTCTTATAGTGAACGTCCCGTTACCGTCACGTATGTCTTGTAAAAGATAATCAATAATGTGTTATATTATGTTATTATTTATTATGCATGAAATGTGAATGCTACCTGACGTATTGATACTTTAAAACATGTTTATGAGATTATAGTTTCATGAATAAAAGAAAAAAAAAAAGTTAGTAGACTACTTAACACTAGTATGAATGAAAACAACTTTCCTAAGAAATGTTATGTTTCAATCAGATGGAAAATGATCTACCCACATATATTAATGAGTAAGTTGCTTTAAATGAACAAGTATCGAAAGAACATGATATACAACAATATCTTCTAGATCGCTATAGATATTAAAAATGATAGTGTTAAATGAAAATTTCATCACTACAGAAGTATGTAGAGAAGAAATTAAAGTAGTTGGTATGTTGTAGAGAGAAATTGAAGTAGTTGTATGAACTTAAAAAGTGATTGAGAGCCTAACCAAAAAAAAATTTTATGAGCTAGCACATGAAGTTGTGGACCTTGTGTGCTTGTACAAAATCTTGAATGCAATAGGAGCCTCTCATGTGATTTGAGTTTGAAAGTAGCAAAATGTAAAACTTTCCTGATTGAAAGGTTTAAGGCTAAGGTCGAGAATAATTACTGGAGTAAAAGTTATGAGGCGATTTAAAATTATTGAGCTATTGTTTGAACGAGGGATTACAATTATGTTCAAGGTTTTATAGGTGTGATTTCTAGAATATGACTTAA